TCAGGGGAAATCAGTACCAATACTGGAAAGATTCAAAATACAATCTAAATCAGGAGAGCAGAATTATTCACACTAACAATTCAATTCATTATTTTAAAGATAAAAAATTATGAAATAGAAAAGACATTTTGAAAGATTTACCCACAATATCTCTTTTCATTGAGTATGAGGACTATCTCTCTTGCCCTCACTCTGTATGCCATCTACTAAGCCCACTAAATAGGCCACTTATTACTGATTCTTAAATATAAGCAGCACTGTCTGGAGCACTGTCCTCCCATTGGTTCATCGATTTGCTCGAGTAGGCACCAGTAACGTCTCCATTGTGAGACTTACTGTTACTGTTTTCGGCATGCTGAAAACACACAATGATTTAGAATTTTTTTTCTTTTTGGGTCACACCCGGTGATGCACAGGGGTTACTCCTGGCTCATGCACTCAGGAATTACTCCTGGCAGTGCGCAGGGCACCATATAGGATGCTGGGAATCGAACCCGGGTTGGCCGCGTGCAAGGCAAATGCCCTACCTGCTGTGCTATCATTCCGGCCCGATTTAGAATTTCTTATCCTGCCAGTCCAATCATTAGTTTCCAATGAGGCAAGAGATTATTCTCTGACATTATGAAGATGAAGGCAATCTCTAATTTTAAGTAGAAAAAATAGGAAGAGTCCAGTTCTATATTACTTAATTTTCAGTTTTCTTTAAGGGCATTTTGCTTATAACAGTTCACTTTAAATAGAAGTCCCTCCCCACCTCCTGACAAGTATTTTTAGATTATCCTTAAGTTCTATGTATGTAGTTCAGAAGACTTTTGGGAAGAAAATGGATTTCAAACACTCCTTTAAGTCATGCTCTATCAATTTTGAAAAAACTATTTGCCTTATAACACCAACCATGGTCATTTTAAGTAAAGTAACTTTTTTCAAATTTGAAAATTGGATACGAAAAACAATGTGGAAATTAAAAATGCTTTCTTAAAGAGCTCTGAAATTAAATATAACAGTCAGAAATCATCAAGGTAAGACTGGAAAATAATGCCTGAAATACCATTAAAATTAAATGGGTTAGAGTCATAGATAGTACAGATGTTAAAGCGATTGACTTCAATGTGGCTCACTCTAGTTCCATCCACTACTCAGCATATGGTTCATAGCCAGGAGTGATCCTTAAGCATAGAGGCAAAAGTTCTGACACCCCAAAATAAAAACAAAAGACCAAAACTGTCATATACAGTTAGCAAGCACAATTTTTTAAATATTATACCCAAAGTAATTATTCCCAAAGAAAATCTTAAATAGTAAAAATAAATCAATAACATAGCAATACACTGTCTAGAAATTAAAATTATTTTTTTTAAAAAGAGAGAATCAGAATATTAAGTGCTTAACTCCATGAACCAATAACCAATAAGATCTGGAAAACCTAGCTCTTGAAAATATTTAGCAACCATCAAGATCACAATGACCACTTCCAATCCTGAACTAGCCAATACGATCTTTACCTCCAGTAAACTGCTCCCCAAAAGGCTCCTTAAAAACTCTGAATTTTTTTTTGGTTCGGGGGCCACACACAGCAGTGTGTTAACTTCCCCAGTCAGAGTTCAGGAGTTGCTCCTAGGAGACCATTTGGTGACAGGGGTCCAATATGGGCCCTTGCATACAAAATATGCACACTAGCTCTTTGAAAGTTATCTCGTGAGCCCCAGAGGTTCTAGTATTAAAAGGGTAAAATGCTGCTACAATATTACAGTCATTTCTAAAGGGCCATGTGGAGACATGTCACCCCTTAGTTGTCAACAGCTTCTGTTCCTACCTTAATAGTCTCTGAATATGACATTTTCTGACCAAAGATTCCTGCAGTCATCACCTCTGATCTTTAACTTCCTTTTATTTTGTCTCTCTCCTCAACTATCTCTAAATAAACTGTTATCACATTGTTTCTGTTACTGTGCTAGACAAGCCCTCACTCAGTCCTTATATTCTGCATCCAAAGTTCCAGTATTGACTCAAAATTTTGGCTTATATCTAACTCTTAATCGTGATTTCTGCTGGGGAACAGAAGCAGATTATGTAAAACATCTGTTCAACATTTTGTTATAACCAACTCTGACGTAAAGTTGATAAAATCTACAACAAATGACTAAAGCAAGTTGCCCAGATTTCACTTAGTTCAATTGAATTTGGAATACCATATCCAAATAGGGACTTTCTTTAGAAATTATACACAAATATGAGTACCCAAGCAATGATGTCTTAATAACAGAATCAGTGCTTTTGGTACCATATTAAATGTGGTGGTTATTCTGCATCAGATTTATGGAATAACCAGATGAAAGGAATCATATCAAATAGAAAGCCTAATAAAATAAATTAAGAATACATATTTAAGATTCAGCAGTTTATTTTGTAAGGGAAATATGTCAGGATAGAAAATTTTCAGTATCAATATGTTAGATTATATCTAAGTCTCCAGGGAAACCTTTCTTGGCTATTAATTTACCTTTACTCCACACCAAAATAACTTGATCCTTTATTTTCTCTAAGAATCCTAATCTTAATTTTTTTCTATCCCAATATGCAACTTAAATTTCTTTCATTACAAGAAAAATGGAAGGATTCTATTGTGTGCTTTTAAAATTAAATTAGAGAGAAGCCAAGTCTCCAAATACTCCCGAACTAAAATCTGAGGGCAGTATTTAAGTTTCTTCGAAGGGAACTTCTATTTTCTGCACTAAAATTCTGACAAGATCTCCAAATCAAAATCTCCTAAAAAACAGTCGTGTACTGTAGAGGATTATGATGGTCAAACAAGTGTGTATTTTATATACTGCTACAGCCCAGTACCCTGGGTTCAATCACTGAACAGTCAAACCCACACAGTTATCCAAGTACTGTTGAGAATCCTCCAGGATCCCTGAGCACTGTTTGGAAGTCCCCTCAAAACACCCCCCTACCCTACCTCCCCACCAATAAAGAAAACACTCCCAAAGTGTTAGAGCACATGCTTGGCATGCTCGAGGCCCCAAGTTCCACCACCAGCACCACATGGTTCTCACATCCCCCTCCCCAGCACCCTCAGATGTGGCCCTCCCTAATGGCTCCAGCAACACCTAATCTCCAGACCTGAGCACAGAACTCTTGCCACCTACACATCCAATCTGAGAATTTCCCAGCCCAGCCAGAAAAAGGCAGAAAGAAACTTTTAAAATAATGAATTTCCTTGGTTCAAGCAATAGCACACCGGGCAGGGCAATTTTGCCTTGCACGCAGTCGACCCAGGTTCGATTCCCAGCATCCCATATGGTCCCCTGAGCACTGCCCAGGGTAGGTAATTCCTGAGTGCAGAGCTATGAGTAACCCCTGTGCATCACCAGGTGTGACCCAAAAAGCAATAAATAAATAAATAATAATGAATTTCCTTTTGACAATTTTTTATTTTTACTTCAATTAATTAATGAATATGAGAATAACAATTTTAAATAGTCACATAAACTGTAGTACTATGGTTCTGCCAACATATAACATCAATTTCAAACCAAGAGCTTACTAACTAAAATCAAGAAACAATGATCTAATATTTAGAAGGAAATCTTTACCTTTTTTTGGTGGGGGAAAAGGGATGGCATTTGGGTACAACTCACCAGAGTTCATGAGCTATTCTTGACTCTGTGTTCAGGAGTGAACCGTGGCAGTTCCCAGGAAACCATATATATAGTACCAGAAATTTGAAGTGGGGTCAGCAGGATGCAATAACCTTAATCTCTGTACTATCTCTCCAGTCACAGGAGAGGAAAAGGACAGTTTACTTTTTTTATTAGGAACTCCTAAAAAAAACACTATTTGGGACCTCTGAGAACCATTGGGATGGGCCACGTAATTTCCCAGTTCACTACAGCTTCAAGCTACTGAACTATAATCAAAACAGTTGGTCAAGATTTTCTGGGAGTGATCCTAAGGTACCGTGAGCACTACTTTGAAGGCACATACACACGTGTGTATATCCCCCCCACACCACACACACACATATACACCTAAGCCCATACTATTCTTATCATAAATATTATTCCAACAACTAAAATTTATAGGTGAACTTAGAACAAGACAAATTAAGAGAAAGAGGGTTAACAACAGTTTTAGCTTATCAGGAGTAAGAAAACACCAGAGTGATAGCAGAGTGACAGTGCTTCTCTTCCACATACTTAACATAAATAATGAGTCAACATAGGACTAAAGCTTTTCTTAATCATCCTCAAATGTTCTAAAGAAACTTTTTTTTTCTATTTGGGTCACACCCAGCGATGCTCAGGGATTACTCCTGGCTCTGCACTCAGGAGTTACTCCTAGTGGTGCTTGGGGGACCATATGGGATGCCAGGAATTGGCAGCAGCATGCAAGGCAAATACCCTACCCGCTGTACTATCGCTCCGGCCCAAAGAAACTTTTTAAAGCATCAAATTAAAAAAATAGAATGGCAATGAACGTCTCACTGATACTTTTTATCTTTCATGAGTAATAATAACAAATCTCCAGATTGGTGAGCATAAGACTATGTCCACACATAGCCATGCAAACTGCCTCTAATTTTATCAACTCTGTATCCCACCCCTCAAAACATTATTTTATAGACCACCAAAAATATAAGCACTTTCTAAAAGTTTGGTTTATGTAATAAATTTTGTAACTTGAAATGTATATTCCAAATGAGAATTAGTCAAGCAGTAAATGACCCAGATCATGATCTCTTAAGTAAGCTCAAAGGAAATTAAAACCAAATTTTCCCCTATGAAAGTAATGTTTGAAATACTAAATATATTAAAAACAAAAAACTATATGAAGATTACACAGATGTCTCACATAGCTTTACAAAAATTTCTTAAACTGAGGTCAAACTGATGTTACATACTCACCACTAATGCTGGATTCAAAACAAACAGCTTAAAAATAACCAATATTTCCTAATTTCATATTCAACAACCAATATTAAAGAATTTTTAACTCACCCAAATGAAGCAATGTAAACTGGGCTGCTAGTTCCTTTGCATCCTCTAATGTAGTGCAGAGTTTGTCTGGCATGAAGTAGCTCTGGGAGCCATTTGCAATAGCCGGAATAACTATTTTATATACCAAGAGTACTTTTCCATCTTGACTTGTTGTTGAATATAAATAATATTCTGGCGGTGCCCAATTATTTTTGTTGCAGTAATAATCTAAATGCATTACTGCAGAATTGAAATGATTGGATTTTAATGAATACATACTAATTGGCGTAAGCTTTGTTCCAGGAAAAAATGGATATGTGCATCTTTCAATTTCAGGGGGGCTTGGGCTATGCTGGCCATTGAGACGAGCTGGAAGAGTTGGAGGTTTGCCTAGAGTTTTGGGGTGGCTCTCTTCTTTGTTAGTAAATACAATCAGGTTTTCAGAATTTGGGCTAATTTGACCATTAAGGTGCTGCCTCCACGTATTTTCTTTGTTTACTGGTTTTGCCAGTGTTACTTCAATACTTGCTCCATCAATGCACTTTCCATTCATAACAGACATAGCAGCCACAGCATCTTCTCGGTTGAAAAAGTGGACAAATGCATAATCTCTAAGTTTCTTTACTCTCTCAACTGCACCAGGTTTGAACTTGTTGAACTCTGCTTTAATTGTTTCCTCTGTAGTTGAAATCATTAAATTTCTTACATAGAGAACTTTAACTCTTTGCATGGTTTCCTCATCCACCTCTTTCTCTGGATCAGCCCAATCTACTTGAATGGTATGGCCCCACAGCTGGAATGTTCCTGTAAAAATAAAACCAATGTATTCACAAACAAATTAAAGTGAAAAAAATTCTTAAGTAAAATTATCCTCAAAGAGTCAGGAATGCAGATACAAATCAATTAGTTTCCTATTCATCCAAAAGTTTAAAGCAAACCTAGAAAAAACTTTTAGCAGATTTTTAGGAGCAAATAGAATACTTGTTCTTCAAATATTCTTCAAATACAGACCTTTATTTGAAGGATCCTTTAGATTTTTTAAAAAATAAACAATACATGTGTATCAAATCAATAAAGTATTATAAGTGATAACTCATTTTGTAAAAGCAATTTGTCTTTTAAGATTGAATCAATTATTACCTTTTTAAGGCATTACATATTTCTGTAACACTGATCTATGAGGAACTGTCATTTTTACATATTTATAATAATGGCAATAGGGAAAAAGTCTTTTAAAAGGACAAATTTACCTGGAATTAGTTTTCTCCTAGCCATAGCTGCAGCTCTATGAGATTCATATTCAACAAAAGCAAAACCACGATTTTTTGTCTTATCAGTTGCACTTGGATAAACAATGACATCTACAACTCCTTCTGTGACTTTCTTCATTTCATCCAAAATTTCTTCCTTCTTCTTTTCTTTGGGAATAGCTCCAATAAATAACCTACAATTATCCAAGCTTACACACACACCAATAAATTTCCCTGGTCGAATCTCATAATTATTAAGAATTCTGATGGCCAACTGTGCTTCTTCTTTTGTGGTATACATCACAAAAGCATAACCTCGATTTTCACCACTAAATTCCATCATAAGTCGAAATTCATATATCTTGCCAGCTCTTTCAAATACAGGAACTAATTCATCTTCATACATGTCACGAGGTATTTTTCCTACAAAGACTTCACAGCCTCTAGGTGGAGGTGGACCTTCCCAACCTAAAAGACAATAATGAATAAGAAGAGGCAATTAAGTTTTTGCATACTTTACTCTTTGCATTCATTACTCTTTCCCTCATTCCACAAATTTACTCTGCTTCTTCTATGTACCATACAAGTGCTAAATGTTGGAAACAATAGTGGTCAAAAAAACCCTTCCCTCATAAAGTTTATATTTAACAGTAAAAGGAGCTATGAAGTGTTATGAAGAAAAAGCTACAGACGACTGATATTTTCTGGCAGTCTAGCAAATCTCTGAATATACTTTAGGTGAGAGAATGAGTCTCAAGAATACATAAGAAGAAAACACTTAGGTTAGAACAACACAAAGCACAAAGACCTATACCACCATGAGTATTTATGGAAAGAAAACTGTCAGGTGATATAGCTATTAATAGACTATTTGCTACAGTAAAGATTTTACTCCGAGTTTATCAAAAAACTAACTGGAGGAATTTGAGCAAAGAATTTTCCCAGTTACTTATGGAAAACTAAACATTTAGTCCATTTATCTGTTTATCCTTCTATTTTATTCACCACTACCACTACCACCACCATCACCTCTCTCCTGCCCCTCTCACTCCTCACTGCTCACTTCAATACCGTACAAAACAATTTCCCCTAAAAAGTAAGATTTTGATTTTGCTTTTTTTAAATGAGTAAGGTTTTTTTTTAAAAAAATGGAAGAGTAAGATATACATATTTCATATAATCTATTTCCTTCCCTTCACAATTGTTAAAATGATTTTTTAAATTTCACATGGAAGGAGCTACTGTCTGGGACAACTATCCTCCTATAAATATAAATGACTACATTAAGCGACTCAATTTTTAAAAGAACAAAAACAAATCCTCACCTGGAGGAGGACCACCAAATTTCCTTTGCCCATTTTCTTGAACCATGCTGTAACCAGTCTTTTCCATCAAAGCAAGTAAAGCTGCCTCATTCTGAGTACCAGTTCGAACTTTACTACATCCATTTGTTCCGTCTAAATTTTCTTCATTCATGGTTGCTATTCCTAAAACCAAAAATTTAAAGATTTTTAGCTGTAACATGGAACACCAGCAATCTACAAGACATTGGAGTTGCAAAAAACCAAGGACAACTGGGGCTGCTAAAATGGGGGATCACAACACCCTAAAGAAGAAAGAGTAAAAGGGAATCCGCCTGGCGGGGGAGGAGGGAATACTGGGAACATTACCAAAGAAACTGCCACTCCAGGCATATCAATGGAGCCAAAAAGTATGAGACTCTGAAGTTCTTCTTAGTTTTAGAATACCTGAATTTCTCTGAATAAGAAAAAAACAGCCACAAGCATACCCTTTTCACATATGCAGTACTAGTACTCAAGTCAGCTAGCGGCTCTGGAGCTAGGCTGCCTCCATTCAATTTTCTTTTCACTTAGCATCTAAATAGTTTTGAACAGCTTCTTAGCCTTAGGGATCTCAATTTCCTAATCTATAAAATACAGGAAGAAAGCTTGCCTGTCAGTTTTTAAGATTGTTAAGTTGGTTAACTGGTATTTAAAAAAGCAACAAAACTCCTAAGATTCTTTTCATCTTTTGGTTAAAATTATTCACAAACATTACCATGCTGAACTTTTCAAATGTTTCAACATCCTCAAGTACTATAATTTAGAATCCAGATACCCAATGTATTTTTATAGTATTTTTTTTCCAAAGCAAAACTGTGACACCAGAGAAAAATAAGCTGAGAATAATAGTCCTGAGTTATAAAGGTCAGGAAATTTCTCACCATTACCTCTGATCGCTACAACTACTGGAAGGGTGTCTCAACCTTACTAAAAGAAAGTTATTTCCTCAGATGAAAACCTGAGACTAACAAAGAGAAACTGCATTATCAAAAAAATCTCAGAGCCGAAAAGTGAAGAAATGCTGTCCAGGTCAGCTTGACTTCAAATATCCTCTCCTGACAAGAAAATCATTTTAGGAACATTATCTTAAAAGTCTCTCAAGAAACAGAGAAGCTCTTTCACAAATGGAAACTTAGAATCTATAAACTGATGGATCTAAAAGTGACTCTAAAGCGCTTTTTAGTTTTAGAATGCCCTGAATTTTTCTGAATGACAAAAAAAAGAACCACTAACATATCCATTTCATACAAACTCTTCCATATATAGATTTGCTCATAAGCAGCTTTCATGAAAGAAATAATTCAATAGAAACCGGGCAGTAAAATATCTTGTACATTTATAGTTACTACCTGCCATCCTCTTTATTTCCCCAAATTTATCAGCCCATAGCACAGCTGTGGGGCATTTGCCTTGCGTGCGGCTGGTCCAGCTGAGAGTATCTAGCCCGCACGGCAAAGCCTGGCAAGCTACCCGTGACATAATCGATATGCCAAACACAGTAACAACAAGTCTCACAATGGAGACATTACTGGGCTCACTCAAGCATATCGGATGAACAGGAGGACAGTGCTAGAGTGCTGTTTCTTAATCTAAGACTCTTTAATCAAACTTCCTAATGAGTATTAGTGTTGAGAATAAGGTGTCCATAAGCATCCTGAATCAAACATATGCAAATAAAGGCCCTAAAGGCCCTCCCGTTGATCGTCGATTTGCTCGAGCGGGCCCAGTAACGTCTCCATTGGAGACTTTGTTGTTACTGTGTCTGGCATATCGAATACTCTCGGTAGCTTGCCGGGCTCTCGGAGAGGGGCGGAGGAATCGAACTCGGGTCGGCCATGTTGGCCGCTTGTAAGGCGATCGCCCTACCCGCTGTGCTATCGCTCCAGCCGGGCTGGAGCGATGCAAATATGAATTCATTTTATCTTCTACCATTTTTCCTGTTTTATCCTACTTCTCTCCCATCAATTCACCCATTTAACCAAGAAATGCTACACCCTTCTCCACAGTGAAGTAGAACTTAACTTAGACTCCTTTCTTTGACTCACAGATATTTGAACTCTATCTCCTGATATCAACCTTTTTCTGTCCATCCCCAAAGCCAGCTCTGAACTATTATTTGAATTAGTGTTAGATTCTTCATTATTGCTCAAGATTCCTGTCCTGTCGCCATCAAACAAATTCCCCATGTTGCACTCCAGGTACTGTCAAGTATACCTCTGGCTAACTTAAGCCTCTACTAAAAATCAAAACAAAGGGGGGAAATGAGTATTTTTAATCTTATAATCAAGAATTCTCTTCTGAAAAATAAAAATGCTTTATAAAAAGTATTACTAGATTATACTTACTGTATAAATAGACTATTTTTGAAGACTGGTATCATAAAACACCACAAAAATAAGACAGAAAATTACAAACAGGGAAAATTATCTACAGCACACTTAATAAAAAGTTTAATCCCCCAAAATAAAAGAGCAATATGGAGTCACAAACCCAATATGGAGTCATGGTTAAGTACAAACCCAGGTCCTTCAAAGATTTCTCAGAGGCCAAACTTGACTCTTACTGCTTATGACATTTAGGCACATTTTTAATCTGTCACAGACTTAATTTTAGCTCTAAAAAGAGAACAATAAGAATTTTGGCCTACATGTTGTTGGATTTCAACTTTAAAATTAAAATATGATTTTGTACCTAAATACTAGAAATGAATTTATCTGAATTTATTAATCCAATAAAACATCCAATTCAGGTATGTCTAGATAGTCATGTTTTCTAATAAATCAATTAGCAAAATGTTTAATAAAACAAGAAAAACACAAACTGTGGACCAGGAACTTTCAAACTCAAATTCGCTCATTTGTTCAATAAACGTCTGTGAAGTCTCAATTTGTATCAATTTGTATGCTGGCACTCTTCCTTAGATCTGATCTGTATTCTTAAATGAAATACTCAACTCTTCCCTGCATGCTTATACTCCACTAGAAGACAAGTGATAAAAATAATAAAATAATGCATGCTAGAATGTAGAGGTTGGGATATGCAAAAAGGAAATAGGGTACGTTGGAGGTAGCGGATGACAGGAGTCAGGGCACAGTCTTCAAAAGGCTAGCCAGAATACCACAAAGCTTGAGTCAAAACTCGGGGGAACTGTGTCATGCAGTGACCGCAGAAATCCAGTTCACACAAAGGGAGAATGAGGACAAAGGCCCAATGAGAGAAATAAACATGGCACGGAAGACCTGTATGAGCCACAGGACAAAGGGAAATATGGTCAACAGGTTGCAGAAGCTGCATCACGAAAGCCTTGTAATTAAGGAAGGATTTTAGGTTTTGCTTTTTCCATTTTAAAGTTGTGAGCACAATTACTCATTTTAAAAAGTATCATCTGGATATCATGTGGAGAAGTTCGTGGAAGACCAGCTGGATGGCTATAATACAGATGGAGATGATGAACCTTTCCAGCTCAGGTTCAAAAGTAAAAGTAGAATCCTGGTACATATCAAAGAGGCTACAGTGAAGACTAAAAGGGGCAGTCTCTTAATAATATCGTCTGAAAGGACAGTCTACAGAATTTTCTCGGATAGATATGGATGACCAGAGAAGTCAGGGAGTTTTAGCTTGATCAATAATATGAGAATATAGAGATAAGGAAAGTGAGGGTTAACAGATATCAGAACAAGATCAGAATTCAAATTGGATATGTCTTTGTGTAACAGGTCACATTAGGTACTGAGTGCTCAGTGCTCTAGCACATGCTTCACATATATTAATACCCTGAATTTTCATTCCTTGCACCATAAAGGGGGGTAGGGAGGATGAGAGATATAAAAGGAGGAAAGTATGAAGTACTTAGCTTATATATGGCTAACTCAGGTTCCATCCCTGGCCCCACATATAGTTCCCCCAAGCATCACCATAAGTCGTCCCTGCTCAGAAAGTCAGAAATAGTCCCTGAGCATTGCTAGGTATGTCCCCAAAATGCAATATACAAAAAACCTCTTTTAACTAGAAAACTACTAGAAACTAAACTAATCCTGGTTCATTTAAAAAAGAAACTTGCCAAACAATATAACATATCTCAAGCACAATTAGGTTTAAAAATTGAACCAGGACAATAGCTCAATTGGCAGATCACATGCAAGAGACCCAAATCCCTGGAACTGTGTGGTCCCTTGAAAACTGCCAAGTGCAAACTCCTGAGCACAGAGCTGCGAGCAGTCCCCAAACACCATCCAGGTTTAACCCCAAAACAAGAAATAGAATTTTTTAACATATCTAGCACTGTAATTTAACCAAATTTCTAAAAGATCTAGAATTCAAAAAAGTCAAAGAATTATAAATCAAACTTAATGCAGAAAAACAGTATTTTCATATTCATTCTAAAAATTCCAGACTATATCTGAAAATGACCAAAATCTCTGGGAAGCATAGCAGTCTTAGACATTGTGACAAATCTGACATACCAACAGAAGTTTGCAGGCTTAATTAAACCTCTACCATTTTCAACTGTGGTATATACGCCAAATCATCCTATAAGCTGTTTTTCCTTACCCTGTTGACCTAAGGAATCCATCTAAGAAAAAAATGAGTACTCAATAAGAGAATGACAAATAGCAAAACAGAGGCAAGAAGGGTAAACTTAAAATTGTTGTGCAGCATATAAACTCCAGTTTCCACAATTGAATCTTTTTTTTAATTTTTTATTTTTTAGTAAGCCTGAACTTTAAAAGATTTCTTTCCAGCTTAGGTTCAAAAGTATAAGTAAAAACAAAACTGTTATAAAAGTAGGTCAAAACAGCATAGCTAATCATGGGATAGGTAAGTGACAATTTAAATCAAATGTTTAGCTTTAGATTTGGGAGCTTTTGGTGGCGGTGGTTTTAGTTTCTGGACCACACCCAGCAGTATCCAGGGCTTCATCCTGGTTCACAATCAGGGATCACTTCTGGCAATGCCAGGGATCAAACCAAGCAGAGCTGTAGGCAAGGCAAGATAGATAGAGATAGCACCCTCTGTGCTATCTCTCTTTGGCCCCAAGAGTGTAGCTCAGTGGTAGAGCAGGCATGTTTAGCATGTATGATGGCCCAGGTTCAATCCCCGGCACCTCCACCTCCTGGGTTCTGCAGGAAAATTCCTGTTTCCTCCTAAAGGGTTGCTCATTGGTGTGTAACCCACTTGAAGTAAAAGCCCTTTAGCTTTACATATCTTCATTAATATTAAATTCTGCAAATCAGTAAACATAAACTTTAATAAATTTGTACTGTCTTTAAAGTACAAAATAGGGGCTGGAGCAATAGCATAGCGGGTAGGGCATTTGCCTTGCACGTGGCCGACCCGGTTAGAATCCCAGCATCCCATATGGTCCCCTGAGCACCACCAGGAGTAATTCAACCCCTGAGTATCGCCGGGAGTGACCCAAAAACAAACAAAAAAATAAATAAAGTACAAAATATAGAGAGAAAATAAAGTTTTAGCTAGGTACAATACAATTTCTCTAAAGAAATTACTTCATAGGGGGCCAGAGCAATAGTAACAGCAGGTTAAGGCTGCCGACCAGGATTTGATCCTGCACCCCATATGGTCCCCCAAGCCTGCCAGAAGTGATCTCTGGGTGCAGAGCCAGGAGAAAGCCCTGAGTACTGTCTTGCGTGACCCAAAAAAGAATGAAAGTACATCATATTACATCAAACCCATCTTCTGAATTGCAGTAGGTGTTCAGTTACTGCTGTAAAGCATTTCCTCACAAGACTGAGAAAACAGAAACCCCAGCAGTCAATATTATTCAAAAACTTCTTTCTCTGCAAATAATTTCATTTAAAACTCCCAGTGTACAAGAATCTAAGCCACAATGTTGAGGACTAATTGTATTTTATGAACCTGATAAGATGAACATTTTGTAAAATTTAGTATGTTTTTTTTAAAAAAAGGACTCTAATAGTGAAAAAATTAAGATATCAAAACACTTTTTTAGATAGTACATTAGCTCTTTTAGGGCACTCATTAAATTACATGGCATTAAATTTCGTAATTTTTTATTTTAGTTGTTGCTGAGGAAGAAACGCAGGGCCATGGTTGGCAGGTCAAGGGGGGAGTGGTGTTTAGTGGCAATTCGTTGTATTCAAAGTCTGCACAATAGCAACATGACTGGAAAAATAGTGATTAATCAAAATTTCATGGGCAATTTTTATTTGAAATAAAGTATTTTTAAATCAGTTTGATTTTCTTTATTAACTATTATGGGGGGGGCTGGGACACACCTTGAGGGACTATATGTGGTGCAAGGGATCTAATAGGGGTGGAGTCCACACCATACTAACTCTTCATCCTCAATTCCACTTTAAAGAGTGGGAGCATATTTTAGTTCCAGAAGTAAAGTAATTTTGGTAAAACCTTTTTACTAGTTCTACAGATTCTAATAATAATGTGAATGGTAAAACAGACTTAAAATTTTGAGCTATTTTTTTAAAAAATAGTAACTAGAAAACTGAACACAGTGGCAGGCTAAGGGTTGGATACATATGCAAAGACTGTCCTCCCGTTGTTCATGGATTTGCTCAAGCGGGCCCAGTAACGTCTCCATTTTGAGACTAGATTCTTGCCTGGCATGCATCCAACCGGATTCAATCCCTAGCACCTTATATGGTCCCCTGAGCCCAGCCAGGAGTGATTCCTGAGCAAAGACCCAGAAATAAGCCGAGAGGACTGCCAGATGTAGCCTAAAAAAAAAAATGCATATACTGGCAGGTTTAAATTTGGAAAAGACTTAAAATTTAAACTATTTTAAGAACTAGTAATATTTTTTAAAAATATTTTCAACACAAAAGTGTAATTATCTGAACTCAGAATAAAGTCATACACAAGAGAATCAAAATTCTCATACATAACCACAGCACAGTATATACCTTACATAAGGTATTCAATAATCTGACTTCAAATTTTAAATGATTTTTCTCTCATTTTCTTGCCTTGCCAACCATCGGGTTAAAAAATAATAAAACAGGAGAAACAATATCCAGTGATAATATGCACACTTGGACAGATTTTGCAGTGACTCCATTTCCGTTCACGTAACCTCCCTAGGCGAACACCAAGCTTCTTAACCAAAATGAGACCACTAATAATGAGACGCTGAACTTCGATCCATAAACCGGGCATATTTTGCTGCTTCTAGGTCTTACCTCATCAGAGATCCAGGGTCACATATATTCATTTTCTAATGTCGATGGTTTGTGATCTTACCCCAATGATGCTCAAGACTACTACGTCACCCTCTTGAGTAGAAATGAACAGAAGAGTGTCTTACGTAAAAAAAATGACAGCACTGCAAAGGGCTGCACCAACAGCAATCTCAGGCACACTGCTGTAAGTGAGCTCGCTCCTAGAAACGTGCCCAATACTCAGATCCGTAAGAAGCTTTAACTCTGAAAAACAGCCCCTGGGCTGGAGCGATAGCACGGTGGGTAGGACGTTTGCCTTGCACGCAGTCAACATGGCTGACCCAGGTTCGATTCCCAGCATCTCATATGGTCCCCCGAGCATCACCAGGGGTGATTCCTGAGTGCAGAGCCAAGAGTAACCCCTGTGCATCGCCGGGTGTGGCCCAAAAAGCAAAAAAAAAAAAAGGAAGAAAAAGAAAAACAGCTCCTTTTCAGGATGCTGGTCAAACTCAAAACACACAAAGCCGTGGCTCTGGGAAATAAAAACTCTTCCCCGGACCTACAGAAGGACAAACCTCTTACCCACGCGAGTTGACGCGTTCGCCCACTCATGCACTACCAGAGGCTCCGGCTTGCAGGTTCTAACACCTTCCTGGAACCCAAAGCGAACCCAAAGCCAGAGCCAGAGAGCGGGGAGGGGCGTGTAAGCTTGGCAGCCAGCCCGGAGCAGCTGGGGACCACGCTGCCGGGACTCACAGTAGAAAACGCTTTGCGGGGCGCTTACATAACAAAGACACGTTTCTTAAACCTGCTTGAAAACTCCGCGTGCAGCCACCACCCGCGGCCAAGAGTGGAGCCCACTCCCCCCCCCCCCCCAGAAGGCAAAGGCCTGGGAGACCGGGGGTGGGGGGGGCGCCTGGGAGACGGAGGGGGGGTGCTAACCGCTCCCAAGCGCAAAGCGCAAGGCAAATCTCTACTGAAGACCCCCGAGCAACCCTGTGTGACGAACCAGTCACCGCCACGAGGGGACGCCCGGCCACCAGACGGCGCGTCGGTGGGCGTTCACGGGCGTCCAGGGGACCGCGGGGTCCACCCCCTGTCCACCTCCCCCCACCCAAGAAGCCCCCCAGCAACCCGCAACCGCCGCTCTTCAAAACCTCCGTGCAAGAAGGGGCCATAAAGGGGGGGGGGGGGGGGGTGGCCAAGAGCGAGCGACCCATCAAGAATTCAAGGCCAAGGAAAGTTCCAGTTTGTTCCCCTCCCCCACCCCCTCTCCCCGCCACCCACCCACACCCCCCCCACACCCACACACACGCCACCACCCCCCCCCCCCCGGGCCCCAGTAAGGAAAAAAAACAATTTTTTTTTCTAAACCGCCACGACGGCCTCGCTCAGTCTCACCCGGCAGCCGGGCCAGCCCGGGCGGCGGCGCCCACGGGCCCCACATCAGCCGCTCGGCCCGCGCGGTTCGACGGCGGCGGCGGAGGCGGCGGCGGCGGCGTGTGCGGGGCGCAACAGGGAGGGCGGCAGGTGGGACGCGGCCGGAAGGCGGCGGGGAGAGCGGAAATCGGGCGGCGAGGGGGGCCGGGCGCCGCGGGGCGGAAGGACGGACGGACGGACGGAAGGAGCTGCCCCCCCACCCCTCCCACCCCCCCGACAACGACGACGACAACGACGAGAGCGACAGACGGACGGACAGACGGACGGACGGCCGCCGCGGCCCGCTCGGCGCGCCCCCTCGCGACGCCCCCCCACACACACCACACCACACACCGACACACCACACACGCACACACACCACACACATCACATACACCACACACACACACACACACACTCACACTGACGCCCCCTGCTCAGGAGACAGCCCCCACACACACACACACACTCTCCTCCCCGCCCCCCTGCGACCCTCCCGCAGCTCGACGGGACGCGGCCGCCCCCGAGCGAGGCGAGGGTCCCCCCCGGCGGCGCGTCTGACGTGAGGGGGCGCCGAGGGGGCTGCGGGCGGCCGTTACGGCCGCGCTTCGCCGGTGACCCCGCTGCCCCCCACGGCCTCCTCCTCACCCCTTCGGGTCTCGTCGTGTTACTCCAAAAGCCCCGGGACCAACGACCACAAACCGCCGCCACCGTTTCGGGGGGCCGGGAGCCGGGCGGCTGGAGGGGGTGGGGTGGGGTGGGGGTGGGGCGCCCACCGGGAGAAGCACGCGCTGTCCTCGCGCCCGGGTCGGGCTCCCAGTGGGCGCCGCGCGCCCCGGGCCAGGCGGCCCCACGCGGACTCGCGCCTCGGCCAATCGGAGGCCGGTCCCGGCCGGGAGGGGCGGGCTCAAGGTTTAGCGCCCCGGAGGCTCCCGGGAGCGGTGGGTCAGCCCTTGGAGTGGCGGCTCGTGAGCCAATTGGGACGTGGAGGGCCAGTTGGGGGGCGGGTCCGGTGGGAGGCCTGGCGTGAAAAAAATCAAAGAAGAAGCCTACGTCGTTGGAAAAAAAATAGAAAACTAGTCCAGGTTGGAATGATGTGCTTGAGATATCATCTGTGTGTTGTAAATCACAGAACCTCGATCATTTAAAAAAAAAAACTAGGCTAGAATTCGAACTCACATCCTGCATAATAAAACTAGGCTAGAATTTGAATTCACATCCTTAGCTTGGAAGGTACTTTCGATGCAGTTTTCAGTGTTTTTTCGTATCTGGTGGAGTTTGCAGGTCCTAAATGGCAAGTCAGGTGCCAGATAACCATATGTACTAAGTCGAGCTGTTAAAATTAATGCTGGGGGGGGGGGGGTGGCGCAGGTGGAAAACCGACATGCAAATCACACTTGAAGGTAAAGACGAAGTAGTTCGAATACCTACACTAGACTGGATCAAGCCTACTGACCAGGCTTGATTTTACCACTCGACAATTTGGGGAGACACCGAGCGGGCAGTGATGGAGCTATTCACTCACTCGACAAAACCAACTGTCACAGATAAGGTTGTGGCATTAAGCACAATGTATCTCGAGTTGGGCTTCCTTTGAAAAATAGTTATGGCAGCTGGAGTGAAAGTATAGTCGGAGGGACACTGGCTTTGGAACCCTGCCAGGAGTGGTCCCTGAGCATAGATATAGGAGTAAACTGAGCACTCCTGGATGTGTGTGTGAGAGAGAGAAAGAGAGAGAGGAGGAAGAAAAGAAAGAAGAAGGAAGGAAGGAAGGAAGGAAGGAAGGAAGGAAGGAAGGAAGGAAGGGAGGGAGGGAGGGAGGGAAGGAGGGAAGAAAGGAGGGAGGGAGGGAGAAGGGAGAAAAGAAAGAGGAAAGAAAGAGAAAGAAAGAAAGAAAGAAAGAAAGAGAAAGAAAGAGAAAGAAAGAAAGAAGAGGAAAGAGAAAGGGAAGAAAGGAAAGAGAAGGAATGAGAAGAGAGAAAAGAGGAGAGATAAACGGAAGGAAGGAAGGAAGGAAGGAAGGAAGGAAGAAGAAAGGAAGGAAAAGGAGAATAGAGGAAGGAAGGGAGGGAGGGACGGAGGGAGGGACGGAGGGAGGGAGAAGAGAGAAAGGAAAGAAAGGAAGAAAGAGAAAGAAAGAAAGAAAGAAAGAAAGAAAGAAAGAAAGAGGGGAAGGAAGGAAGGAAGGAAGGAAGGAAGGAAGGAAGGAAGAGAATGCTAAATTAGCTCAAGATTAAATGGCAAAAAAACAAGGAATGATTCTTGGCTCACGGTAGTTGCTTCAGATCTTGATATCCTGAGTAGACACTCCAACAGGTTACCCAATAACACAGATGCCGCACATTCTCAAGCTCAGCATGCTGTCTTCCACACTACCTGATGATGTCCGTCTCCATGTGTCTGAAGCAGCAATGGCAGCTTAAAATTTTGTGAAGTGACATGTTCCAACAGTGAGGAGTTAGCAAGGACTTAGGAGTCTGACATGTGAGCTCAAACTATGAATTTTATTGACGTGTCATCTTGGACAAGTTAATTTCTCAGAGCCCAGTCCAGTTTAAATAGGATCTCTGAAAGCTAGGTGATCATAGTAACAAATGCTGTGCTTAGTATGTCTCGGAAACAAAGCTAAGGGGTGTTCCACATATTAGTTCATTTAATTCTGTCCATGAGTACTACTCTCACATATGCTATTTGCATTCAAATCAAAGCAACTAGCTAGTCTAGACTGATAGAATATACCAATTTCATTTTCAAAAACCAGTCCTATTCTTTCCAATAAGAAGTGGGAGACATGAGGAACGTGGGAGAGATAGCTCAAAGGGCTGCAAATGTGTGGTTTGCATTTGAGGTGTGGAATTCCATCCTGGTACTGCATGCTGCCTCTCCCTGGTGTGCCCCGCCCATTGCTAGCTGAGTATTGAACTGTCTCCCTTCGCAAGTTTGATCCCAGGCCCTCCTGAGCTTTGCTTTGGGGAGCAACCCTATTACTCCCCAAAATCAAAACTGCCATCATTTTTCTATCAGATAGATTAGTATATTTATTATTTTAATATTGGTGTCTTCTCACTCCCCGATAATTCTGAATATACATGTTTAACGTTAACCTAGCTGGATCTATATTAGATACGTGTAGAAAAGTTTAAAACAACTTTTCGGAGAAGCTGCTGTAGTAATCGTAAATGGTCACTAGGGGGAGATGTTGCCTCATGGAGTGCAAAAGGAAACGTTCTTGGAAGTACCCTATTCCAGTTATTCTTTTTCTGTTTTCTCTTTTCCTCCTATAGCCCCCCAATATAAAGAAAATAACACACACCAAGCGTTATCAATATGCATTATATTTATAGTATATAACCTTTTGTTAGATAAAAACAACGTTTTAAAAAACCCAAGACTGGATAGACAGAACAAGGTGCAAGGTACTTGCCTTGTTTGGGGCTGATCCCAAGTAGCCCCTGGAGTCACTCCTGAGCACCAAGGGAAGGATATCCCCTGCGCACCGCTGGATATTGTCCAATCCCCCTATCTACCATTATCCCCACATAATCAAGCTCTCAGGAAAGACCTCCCACTCTTCCAGTACTTACTCCTTGAAGTCAGATTACTCTAAATCTTTCATTTTGTTATTAACAGTTGTATTTTTCAAATTCAATACAATTTATATCATATGCATATAAAAATAAAGAAATTGTCTATTAAATTCCTTCTCAAGATTACTAGGAAACTAGAATTTCTTTTCAATAATCCCAAATATTTCAATAATCCCAAGTATGGTATTATTATAAATTTGCTACAAGTTTATTTCTGGGAGAAAGTGACCCAAATGAATTAGGAGAAAGGAGAACATTTTTTTTTAATTTTTATTAGTGAAACACCATGAGGTACACTTGTAGATTTACAAATTTTTTGTGCTTGGGTTTTGATTATACAATGATCAAACACCCATCCCTCCACCAGTGCCCATTTTCCACCACCATGGTTAATATCCCTCCCACCCCCATCCTCCCCATCCCACCCTGCCTCTGTGGCATGGCATTCTCTTTTGTTCTCTCTCTCCTTTTGGGTGTTGTGGTCTGCAAAAGAGGCATTGAGTGGCAAACATGTTCAGTCCATAGTCTACTTTCAACATGCATCTCCCCTCCTGGGAGGATCCTCCAAACACCCTTTATTTGGTGCTCCCTTCTCTATCTGAGCTGCCGAAAGGAGAACATTTATGTTGAGATGGATTTGACTGAAAAGAAGTCAAACATTGACAGATGTTTGTTTATTTGAGAAAGAAAAAAGAAATTCTGCAAGCCTCAGGAAAACATTAACCATAGAACATGGAAGAATTAGTTAATAAAAGTTGGAAGGGAAAAGCAAGTATGGATGGTTAAAGTCAGGATACCATATAGATGGGCTTTCCCCCCTCCATATAAAATGTAGGCTATTAGATTGAAGTCATTAAATTAGACATTAAAAAATACTTCCTGAAATACGAATTCCCAAAGGGGGGAGAAGCAATGAGAACCACCAATGAATAAGAGTACCTGGGTTATTGTTTCAACTCACTGACTCTTCCTTCCTCAGCAAGAGAGTTTGCACCTGCCAGATGAACTTGAGCTCTTCATGATTCTGGGATATGAAGATTGGCGCCAAGATGATCTTAAGGTAGGGAGGATTTTTTCCCTTTTGTAGTAGTATACTGTGGTACCCTTATCACTTAATCACTTAACTTCCCGTTAGTCGTCGGTTTGCTTGAGCGGGCGCCAGTAACGTCTCCATTTGTACCTGTCGCGTGCTAGTGTAGCCCAATGGCATCTGTTCGCTCTGGGAACATGAAGAGCCTCAAACCAATCATTCATGATCTTCACGAAGAAGTCTGACCATCTGGTAGGTGGGCGGCCACGCGGTCTTTTGACATCCCGTGGAATCCAGTCGGTAACAGCTCTAGTCCCGCGGTCGTCTTTAAATCTCATTACGTGACCAGCCCATCTGATTTTTGACACCTTGGCAAATGAGACAGCGTCCCTGATACCCTTATCTCTAGTAAATTTAGCTCTCATGGTTGACATTTATCTTTCCAAGAGAGAGCTTTCTAAAGTAACTCTGGAGATCTTTTCATGAGCACGATATTGATGTTGTATATGGGGGGGGGGGGGAGAGCATAATCAAGCTCTCAATACAGGAGTTAAATAAAGTGACTCTTTGCTGAATGGTCAGAGCTGCTAGTTAACATTAAGATCTTGTCCTCCCGTTGTTTAAAACATTATAAATAGTGTTATATGAATGGGAAGTTGGTGCCTCTGAGAGATACTTAATTCATAACATCAGGAAACAAACATGTATTTGTTTGTAAATGTATAACTTTGTCATAGTGAGATGAAATTTCAAACACTTTGTTGTTGATGAGAACTCGTCTGTCCTGTCTCACTTTAAAATGGGCTTCCTCACTCTCTCCACTGCTGTTCAATATAGTACTGGAAGTACTTCCAATAGCGATTAGGCAAGAAAAAGATATTAAGGGCATCCAGGTAGGAAAGGAAGAAATCAAGCTCTCACTATTTGCAGATGATATGATACTTGGGACCACTCTCCACACGTCCGGACGGGCCTCATGCATGAAAGAACTGGCAGAGGAACCCAGGCATGCGGGTCCCGGGGCTGAGGTCTCCAAGCCTGCTCAAATTGGGACTGGGTCTTCTCCACCCAGACCCACCCCCATCGTCAGTAGATAGGCGTCA